TCCCTGTTTGTTTACAACTGCTTCAGAAAAAGGTGCTTATAATAGATGCAGTTTCATTTCAGAAAATGGTAAATTAGTGGCTTTTCTAAGAAGTAGGTATGTTAACAATATAGATATTTTTATTCTAGGAGAGCTTCTTTTGCATTGAGCATGGAATGCTCAACTTAAGTTGTTTATCCATTTATATTGTCATTACTTGTTAGCTTACTGACTACTCTGGGTTAAGCTTTTGATCTAGTTGTTTCTCTGGTGTCTAAAATAAGCTGGAGTGTGCAGCGTCACATGTCCGAGTCTGATACTGCTGGGAAAAGTGGATGCTGTAATATATAAAATACCTAGAAGACTCTTATATGTGTTTTGACAGATTGGCAAAATGAGATATGTCAGTGTTCGTGACTTTAAAGGGAAAGTCTTAATTGATATTAGAGAATATTGGATGGATCAAGAAGGTGAAATGAAGCCTGGAAGAAAAGGTATTGTTCTGCTTCATGTTATTTTTGTATTATAACGTTGTCTGCAGTTTGCTGGGGAACTTTGTGTATCTTTTTTTTAAACTTTGTTGCTACATGATGTTTTACAGTAATAATTTTACTTTTTTATAATGTGTATTTTAACAAATATTTAGTTTTATCTGTAGATTATAAACAAAAGTGATTTCATTGGCTTGAGTCAATTTTCCTGAAGACATACTCCATGATTTATGGAAAACAAGGCATCAAATACAAGCAGATTTGCTCGGGTGTTGTAGACATAGCCATACTTCCCCAGCCCCCCAATTAACTTAATGCAATTTCTTTCTTTCAATCGGATTTCTTATTTCAGAATTCACTGAAAAGATGTAACTTACTCATTTATGATAAAATGTTAATTTCTTTAAAACAAGTGATTCAATTTTATCAAATTTAGGTGAAAATAATTAAAAAAAATTAATGTGACTGATTTGGAAAATGTATGTCAAGATTTTAGTTAGCTGAAAATACCTCAAAATGTTCAAGTTTTTGTATTGTGCTTCCAATCTGCAGCACAGCACAAGCCTTTAATTGCCACTCTCATACTTCCTTTTCATGGCACACCTTCCCAGGACCGTACTCAGGACTTTGCCACGTGTGAGAAGAGATTGTGAGGATAGTTGTGGTAGCTTTGCTTAATGCTGCGTTGCTTCTATTAGAAAAGACTACTTTTAATAGGTTTTCATTTTGTGCCAAGGAAAGATGTAAGTATGAAGCATTCTGCCACGGAAGTTGAAGGCATTTAATGAACAATCAGCGTAAGATTTGTTATGTTGTTCTGGAGTGCCTAGGAACAGCTCAGTGAATAGACATCTGCGAAGTTCGGGAAGCGTTTTCAACATTTCTTAATTAACCAGTGAGCATAGGTTTGTATGAGCAGGGGTACTGGTTCTGTACAGGGATATTTCTTGGTTTGTATTTGTTACTACTTCTAAGGGCTTATAACTTGCTGTGTTTTGAGGTGGAAGTCAAAAGTATATGCATCTTGAGTGGCAAACCATAAGGAGGTTCAATGGCTAGACCGAGTGACAAAAATTACATGATGTAGATAGAAATGTTTATCGATGTGGCAGAAGGGTCTGAAACATGTCAAGATGATAATAATCTAATGTGATATGTGAGTCTAGTGTTCCACTGATGCAAGCCACTTATCTAGCTATCCTAAAAACAGTATAAGCAGTTGAAATTGTTTAGTAAAAATCAGAGAAAAAATGCAACAATTTAAATTACAGTGTCTGATTGTTTCAGAGAGCAAGTGTGAACTGCATGCAGTTCATCTGGTGTGTGTTTTGGGAACATCTTGATATTTGGTCCCCTAGTAACGGTTAGCACACCTGACCTGTTTTCAGGAGAAACCCGCCCTCTAAAGACTGATGGAAAACTGCTTAGGGTAACTCCATGAAAACTGCTTGGGGCTCAAAATGACAATGCTGCACTGGTAAGACAGTGGTAGTAGGAGGAAAAAAAAAAAAGATGATGAGCCCCGAAAATGAAATTGAAAGTTTCACCTGTTTTCAGGTCCTTCTCCACCTGCAGGGAGAAAGCAATGAAGGAAGCCTGATTGCTGAGCGGGGAGGGTGGGGGTAAATAGTAGAAGAGTCTGTCTGGAGAGAGTATGAGAGGTAGGCCTGTGAGTCTCTATTTGCATAGAGTTGACACAGAGATTTGAGGGAGACTGGAGCACAAAGGTAGCAAGGAAGCATGTGCCTGGACTCAAGCTTGAGGAGGTACAAATTTAGAAATTCACTCAAAGCTATAGTGAACCTGAAGTGAAAAAATTCTGTGTTGGTTTGTGAGTGTTAGGGAGTGAAATAGAGTCTCTGCAAAATGTCACTTACAGCATGTGTTGTTTACAATGCTTTAAGACACCGAATGAAGAAGAACCCACAAATCATTTAAAAGTGCATCAGGGTTCAGTACACAGAAGTAGGGCTTTTGGGAGCCTACAGGAATATGGATGATTTTCTGCTTCTCACTCAGGGCTTTTGTGCTACCTTCTACCAAGGCCAGAGGTGTATTTCACTTCCTGATTTAGCCCTACACTTGGGAATGAATTTGTTACACTGTTAACTTTCTTTATAGTTTAAGCCTGTTCAGAGGTAAGCTAGATTCTAAAGGTTGTGGAGAAGCACGCACAAACTCCGGGATGGTGGAAAACAGAATTCGCTTTATTGCAGGCAGACACACATGTTTATACTTCTTAGCAAGAAGCTTTATTTATGGGTTACAAACAGGAGACCAGACTATGCAACCAGGGTTGTTATCAGCTCATGTACTCCTTCAGTCACTCTCTTATCACACAGGGAGAACAGACTTTCCCAGGTCTGTTTTGATCACACTCTCCCATTCACTCCCATGCACATCTTGGGTACGAGAAGCCTCTTATCTGTCCATTCTCACAGACAAACTCCCAACATGAGCTATACTCAGCTGGTCAGGATCTCTTTTCATAATTAGCAAGCAAGAGTTAGGTACTTGTTTAGAAAAGAGCTCAAGGACGAAAGTCTTAATTCTGCAATGCATTGCTGCCAGCACAGCTAACTGTAAAGTGTATCCACAAAAGGTAAACTCAGGTGTTCCAAATGAGTAGTTTCGCTTCATAATCCAGACAGTTGCTGAAGTAGCTCAAGCATTAATAGTTATGACATAGTCTTTGGGTAAGAAGTCAGCCTTGATAGCAGTTATGCAAGATTGTGCATCATAATTTTCTGCCCTAACTGTGTATTTTTTAATGTATTTCAGGTATTTCTTTGAATCCAGAACAGTGGAACCAGCTGAAGGAACAAATTTCTGATATTGATGATGCAGTAAGAAAACTGTAAAGACAAAGCCATACAGAAACTTTTATCATTTCAGTTGTTACAAGCGGTCTTTTTACATTGGCTTTTGTTTTCTAAAATATTGTTTTCCAAGCTATTGTATATTTGGATTGCAAAACAATTTGTAAGATGAATACTTTTTTTATGTGCATTAAAAGTGTATTCTGAGTGAAGCTATTTGTGTATACTTTACTAAAAGGAGATGTGTTGCTTTCACCTCATGATGTAAAATAAACAAATCAAATAATATGTAAAGCATACTTGTTTATGACCTTTTGATTGGAGGTGTTTGCTGATAAGGCCACCTAATAGCTTTAGTCTCTGTTTTAGTTTCAGTTTAGTTAGTGGTTAGTACGAATTTGTTTTCTGAGGAGATTTCTTAAAATGTCTCTGTTTAATTTTTATTATTTTTCATACTCTTTGGTATTGCCCCGACAGCTTTCTGCTTTAAGACTTGATACACACAGCGAATACTTGGTAAAACACGTTTTTGTAGATAACTTTAAATACACTATTTGCTAATTTACCCTATTTATTCAGATGTAAACAGTCCTGGGTACGTAGACTTTTTTGCATTACTTGCATGAAGTATTATGATAAACAGTAACACTTGAACACAGGCCACATGCTGTTCCTTCCCATTTTTCTATAGCTTGCTTGACTTAGAACATGCAATTAACCTTTCTTGGGCCATAGATTTTAGAATGTGATGTTTAAACCTTTATCATAATAGACATATACCTCAGAGTAAGAATAGTATTTAAAAGCTCCAGATACGGTTATTAGTTAGGTACCCTTTCAAGCTTTACAGTGAATTCATTCTTGGACACATACTTAGTAAACAGTTAACTGGTCTTTGTAGGACTTCTGTTTGTTTGAGAGTATTGTGCAAACAGCCATGCTTCAACGAGGCTGTAACACAGGTTAAACAGTCAAACAGGGTTAAAATGGCTTCAGCCAAAATGGCTGGCTGTCCTGCTTGTGCCCCGTCCACACTGCCTGCCCGAACCTCTTAACCTGGCTTGCTTTGTGTGGGGTCACGTGGGCACAGTTGTTTTATCTCTTGTACAAAAGAAACTTAGGCTTTCAGTGGGGCGCTGGTACATGGCTCACTGTGACTAGCAAACTTTGCTTGTCAGCTGTCGTACTACTCTGTTAAGAGGAGCTGCTGTCCAGTGGAAGCTCTATTAGGCTGCCCCAGTTGAAGGGCTTCTTGGTAGGTGTCACAAACAGTGAAATGAAGAAGGGAGAGTACGATGTTTGAGAAAAACGGGAGAGATAAGGAACACACTGGTGTGGAACTTAATGGCAAAGATCAAAGTTAGCCGACACATAACTACAGTGAGGAGGTGGATGTTAGTGGAATTGGAGAATAGTTTGTTTTCTAACTTAATTCAGTTACTCAAAGGTGGAAGATGAAACAACTTCATGAAAAATTGGTTGAGCTTTAATTTTCCCATTTTGTATTAATGTAGTTTTTAAATTTATAGATAAACAGGATTTAGTATTTGTTTAATTTTGGAATATCTTAATATATTGTTTGCATGGACATGCCATGAACAGATTGTTCCTGTGCTGGAGAGTTTATAATTCAATACAAATAGATGTTGAAGGGGGAGGAAGGCTGATTCCATCAAATTAAAAATACGTTATTTAATTTATGTAAAAGTTACATCAGATACCTCCACCTGATTTTAACTTACTGTTGTTGACATACTACAAGTAAAGTCAAGATCAGTTTTTGTATAGCTCATGAGTTTTTAAGAACTGCTTAAGAGTGAAAAGATGTTTTGTAGCAGCGGATGCATTTTTGGGCACAACATTCTTTTCTGAGTGACTCCTAAAGGCATGTAGGGGTGTTTGGACCAAATGGAGTGAATCTGAAATATCTTCTAAAATTTCATAGATGAGTGAATGAAATGAGTTGCTTCAGACCACTATCAACCGGTACTAGGTGCTTTTTATTTGTGGTATGTATATATGATTTTTTTGTTTTAAATCTGAAATCTTGCAACCAAATTTCACCCCTTTAACCTCAGAACTTTCGTGTGGGTACTCTGAAATGCAGGAATGGCCAAGGGATCTGGGGCTGTTTAGCCTGAAGGAGAGTAGACTGAGGGGAAGACCTCATCGCTCTCTACAACTACTTGAAAGGAGGTTGTAGAGAGGCGGGGGTTGGTCTGTTCTCCCTAGTGGCGAGTGATAGGGTGAGGGGAAATGGCCTTAAGTTGCGCCAGGGAAGGTTCAGGTTAGATATTAGGAAGAGACGGGCAGATGTTGTGCTGAGGGACATGGTTTAGTGGAGTTGACGTGGCTTGGACAAAGGTTGGACTTGATGATCTAGAAGATCTCTTCCAAACGAAACTCTTCTATGATTGATTCTGTGATTCTGTTAGATGAAACATTGTCCTCACTTGATTACTGTGGTAGCAGGTCATTGAATGGCAGTTATATATCAGTGTACGCTATAGTTGCGTTCAGGAAGGTGGAGAATTAAATTCATTTAAGGGTGAATAAATGAAAAAAATTAGATATAGTGATTAGTTCTCTTGTGGAAACCAATGGTAGAGGTGTTCAAAGAAATTAGTATTCCTTAACCAAGAACTATTATTTCTTATTTCAGGTAACCCCCTTTCTGAATTTATGGTGATGATTACTGGAGCTGTTTATCCCATTTTACTTGATAATTTTACAGGCAGTTTGATTTTACTTAGGTTTTCCACCTGCCAGTTTATTTCTGCCTATAATAATGATAAAATACCGTATATTTTACCTGAGCCAGTCTTAACATCTGCATGAATGTATTACAAAAGAGGTAATTAAATAAGCCAGTCAGTTTCACAGGTGAACTCAAATGGGATGACTTCCCATCCCATGGAAATGGGATGATTGTGAGGGAATTCATTACACCTCAGGTGACTGATGTGCTTATTATTTGATAAAATTTTGGCACGTTTAGTGTTATTTTGAAAGAAATAGTTTGTACTGATTTGTTATGTAATTGTCTACGGCTGTAGTCTTTCTAATTTGAGGGAAAAAAAAAAGTAAAGGTTGTTTTCTTGCAGACAAAGTGGTAGGTAGGGTACCTGTAGAAGTGTCCATGGAAGAAAATTGTGCATGTATGAAAAGGCTGTGTTATATGAGGTAAAAGCAGTGTGCCCTCTCCCACTGAAGTGGCAAAAGAAAGATGCATTTGATTCTTGATGTTTGTGCAGGGCATATTAGCAATATGTTTTATAAATTAAACCTACTGTGGAGCTTAGGGGGAGAAATACGTCTGCCAAAGTAACGTATGTGTGATAAATCAAACTGTCATGTGCGATATTGCTCTTCTGCAGAGATGTTCATATTGAAATTAAACAAATGCATACTAAGTTTGATATTTCTGTTAAAGGAAATGCCCTAGTTTACGTACTTCTTATGTGATCTGTTAGCAAAAAAAAAATGATGATTGTAATTCTGGTAACTCAAATGTCATACTGTTTACCATGTGGAATGTTTCATGTTTTGCTCTGGTGGTATCTACTGCAGAGAGGCCACTGGAAATATGAGCCCTCCAACTGTAACTACCTTAATGTTCAAATAAAAAAAAAGTTAAATGGCATACGTGTAATAACAATTTGAACACTTGGAAATAAATGAAAACTTCTGTTGACAAAGTGTTATGTTTAATAGAAGTTTAGCTGCACTAAATTTTTTTCTTAAATTGTCATGAAAACTACTGTTTGTTTCTTGTAACTTTTTGTAATTTGGAAATTTTAGAACTTAACCGTCTTATTCTTGGTCCATGTTTGTGGGCAGGGTATTGATTATGTAGACTGGAGGGATAGATGTTTTTCATGATGATAAAGTAAGTGATGTCATGTAAGTATGGGAGCAGCAAATGTAACACACTTTAAAAACACCAAACAAAAGGAAAGTGCCTGATGAATTGCTAGTGTTAGGAGAGTGGCTGATTATATTCTTTAGTGGAGTTTCTTTTTGATCTGACAGTAAATGTAACCACAGATTAGATAGAAAAAAGCTTCTCACGCATTTGTTTGTTACTGGTCAGTTAACTCAATGTAGTCATCTTTAGGAAGGATGTTTGACTTTCATGTTTTCTATGACTGATTTGTTGGAAGTGGATTAACTCATTGTGACCTTGAACCTGACAGATTTTTCTTCAAGTAATTTTGATCAGTAGCAGTTTATAGCCATGGAAACAGAAATTAATGCGTCTTAAATAGAAGAAACAGAGTTTGGGGTTGTTGAAGGGTCATCATGTCCTGCCTGTTTCTCAGTTACTGCTATCCTCTTGCCATCATCTTTGGCTGTGGCTTTGGTGGCTGTGTATGGAAGAGCAATCTGATAGTGTTTTTCCTGTTGTGAATCAAGCCTGCATCCCTTCTACTCTTGGCTTTGTATTGTAACATAAAAGTGCAAAGATACCTGCCGAAGAACTGAAGTGAACCGTCCTTGGGTTAGTGATGGTTTATCAGTGAACCTTAAATCATGCTGTCTTGTGAGCAGAGACACATGCTGTTAGTCGTGGGGATAACTTAAACACTGAGAACTTGGTGACAGCTATTCCCTTGGTATTGCACTTCATTTAAAGAAGTGTTCTATTTTGTGGGTTTTTTTTGTGAGAGCTGCTTAATTTGTTTTTCATTGTACTTCCTTTTTTGCTTTCAATGAATCCATATACTTGTCATTGATGGGATGGCAAATGACCTAGGAACTGAGGTTGGTTTGAGGACTCAGGTGTTCAACAGCATTATCCTTAGGACAGAGGAGGGCTCTGAATCCTAAAGGTGGATAAAGCCTGTCATAAAACTGCAAAAGTTGGTGAAATGAACAGACTGTTCTTGGAAATTTCTGGGTGTGTTTGCTGAGGCTAAAAAGCCTACTTGGCCAGCATGTCTAGTAGACTACTGTTAGTTGTCAGTTCACTTGGGCAGCAGTTAGAAACTACTGAAGTAAAGAAATGCTAAAATTTTATGTAACACTGTTACTTGTGTTTATATCTAAAGAGCAACTGTTTCGCCCCTTAAGAGTTTAAATGTTTTGTGTTTTCCCTACTAGCCTAATGTGTCAGAATAATGTTCAGGCTACTGAAAATAAAGTCCATTTCATCTTAGGAATAGAAATAGCTGAGTCTGTTCACTAATATGTCATCACACAACATACCTGAAGGAGAAGCGAATTACATGGTATATTAAGAACCAGCTTGATTGACATGAGTCTAAACAACTAACTACTTGAAATTGTAGGTTAGG